TTTTTTTTTTTTGTAAAGAAAACTAAAATAATATGTATTTTTGTCCACTTTAAAAATATATATAGAGAGAAAGGAACCTAGAGTCTAAGCACTTTTATAGGAGAACCACTTTTCAGGGCCATTTATTTTAGTGCTTCTATTGCTTTTATTGCAGATATGTTATTTTGAATAGAAAACATCCCTGATGTCCAGTTTCTTCATGTCCTATGTTATGCAGTGAAACTAAAGGAGATAAAAGGTTGAACTGAGAAGGGATTTAGTCACTTGTTTACCAATACTTTCTTTAATAATTGGCAAATATATTTTCTCAGCAAAATGAAAATAAAACAGTTTGTGCTTATATGGTGATTAAATAACTTCAACTCTTCCAGTATGAGAAACAAAGAGAATCATTTAGTTTTTGGAGTTCTTCTCCTTTGGGTTAATCTACTGTAACTGAGAGGAGGAAGTAATCAGTAATGAACAGTGTAATTTAAAGATTGATTTGCTCAATCTTTAAATTTTTTGTTTGTTTTTGCACATGTTGAATGGATTGAGATCTGCACTTACAGATATTCTGAGATATCCTGTTGGGTCTTAACCTCATTATGGTCTTGAAACAAAAGGCAAAACTTTTATTTAGAAAGCAAACTCTACCATGAAGAGAGTACAGCTTGAGAAGCTAAAGAAAAGAAAAGAAAATTGAAAAGAAAATCAAAGTAAACTTTAAATTGAAAAGAAGCTTTGAAAAAAATACAAGGAAAGGTGAATCAGCCTAGAGATTATTTTCTTTAGCATGTTGGAAAAATCTGAGCTCAGTGTTTGGCTTCTATCTCTTGATTTTTATGTACTGGTTGGAGTTAGGTCATTTGTATTTACCCCCTCTTGAGAATACCTCATGTTGCTAATAGTCAGTGCTCTGCTTGACTGGATGGAAGACTCGTGGAACCTTTATTAATTAAGTCTAGTACAAGAAAAAAGAAATTCCTTGTGCTTTCAGGAATGACATATTAAAATAATTGCTGAAAAGCTTTGGGGCCTTGGAGAGATTTAAAAGCTTGTATTCCTTGACTTATCCTTACTATGTGGATATATAAGTGTAATTGCTTAGTACATGATCATGCTGATATGTTTTGTTATGATAGGATTTCTGAGTCTTTTGAATAATAATCTTCTTGCATCTGATCAAGTCAAACAAGTTGTGTTAAAATTACTAAACCTTGATAAAATTATCGTGTTTCAGCTTACCTTTTTGCACAAAGCTATGGTTATTGTTTTGAAAACATAACTCTTCAACCAATTTTCATGAAAGTTATACAAAATTGCATAAAAGTATTTTAGGCAGAGTTCATGCTCCTTTTTTTTCTGCTTCAAATCATGGCAAGATTACATACAGAGCTGATTTTGTAGTTAGTTTTAAAAAGTCTTTGCAAACTTATAGGTAGTGAATGCAAATGAGATACTTCATGTGATTTTTTTGGTGAGTAATCTGTATTTTATTTCTCATGCTGCATTTACAGTATAAAGATGTGGAATAGCTATGCAATTAAACTCCTGATTTTAGCAAATCAAGGTATACTTTTTTCTTTATCTTCAGTTCATCTGCTTTGAGTTTAACATACCTTTTTGGAGAATAAAATGTTTGTAAAAGATATTAAGTTTTGTTTGGCCTTCCTTTCCATTTAAAGTACTCACTGGATCCTAATGTGAAGTTGTGATCCCCAACGCTGATTGATATGTAAACACAAGGCAGATGGTGTAGAGATGATTCTGATAATTCATTTTTCAGTCAGTCATGAAGTACTTTGATTACAGTGTGTTTAAGTAATTATAACACAGTATTCAATGTTAGCCTTGTTGGTAAGGAACACATGGGAAACAAGTTGCACGTTCTTCAGACCCAACAAAGGATGCACTGTGGTGTAACCATTTTAATTCCTAATGCTAGATTAGAAACATAGAACTTTAAAATATGTCATACAGTAAGGTAAATACATTAAACATAGTCTGAGTAAAAAGTTAAGTACATAGTTTTGGGCATAAATATTTGTTTTGGAAAGTATTTGTTGCTATATGAAAGAAGCCAGTATGCTTGAGTTCAGATTTCACTTTGCATGCAGCTCGTTAAAAAGTCACATGCTTGTTTTTAGCTTTACATGAATCGTGGTTATAATGTAGCTTACTTTATCTTTTATAAGCATTTTAAATCACAATACTGATAAAAATAAACAGCATTTATGAAATTTAGTTAGAAAACATATTTTGTTTTTACATCAATTGTTCACAGCAACCTGTCATAGTAAGCAGTGCTTACAGAAAATGATGATGGTAATTAGCCGACAGTAAGACACAATCACTTACATGAAGCAAAGGAGTATGTTAAAGAAAATCATACCAATACTTCTAAAACTCTTGCAAACAGATTATAGGATGAATTTAGCAGTCTGTTGTATAACTGATGATCATTTTTTGTTTGTTTCTTCAATAGGATAATTGACCGTCTAGATGGAGTTCGTTTGTTATGGTCATTGCTGAAAAATCCTAATCCAGATGTTCAAGCAAGTGCAGCTTGGGCTATTTGTCCTTGCATTGAAAATGCTAAGGTGAGAAATATTTAAAATAATATTTTTCTTATATACTTGCATGTAATTATTAAGTTTGTTTCAACAATAACAACTTTCAACAATACTGTCACATTTTCTGCTTACAGTTTCTCTGGTTCGTTCTTTGACTGCTTCAAATAATTGATGTATTTGTTTTTTAACAGAACAGGAGGCTTCAATCGATTGTTCATTATAGCATTCTGTTTTGTCTTCACACTGCTTATTTTATTTGGAAAAAGTATTTTTGTAACTTGTCAGAACCGAAAAAGGCTGTTCCCAAATAAAGCATATTGATAATCTGATAATTTTATCATTGCTAATATGATAATGCAGCAAACAGAGATCTTCTATAGATAGGCTATGAACAAGACAGGTAGCTGTAGAAATTCTCCTCTATGAGTACTTCAGCTGTTCTCTGGAGACAATCTTTTGGGTTCAGAGTGTATTTTAGATTCACTGCCAATGTAATCCTTAGATTCTCTGCTCAGACTGCCAAAAAAAGTGCCATTTGTGAATAGCAGTTGTGTGGTTCAGCTGTGTACAGAAGACTGAGCTATTCATTTATTTCACATCAGCTTCCAAAGAGATAAAATAGCAAGTATAATCTGTAACTCTTCTTCGTGAATTGCTACCACTGACCTGTGGAAAATAAGCGGGGAAGGATTTGTTTCTCATTACGAGCTCTCTAAAATAGTTGTCTAAAATACTAAGCATACTTTTAGCCTTAACACTTGTGCAATAATATCTTATAGTTTATAATATACAATATACAATATATATAATATAATCATTATAGTATATAATTTGCATCCATACTTAATACGTTTGTTTTTTCTCTCTACCACAAGTATATGTCCTTCTGTGTATCATTTGAGAATCAAAACCTCTAAAAAGTTAGAGCACCTTAGAAGTGCTAGGTATCCTTAGCATCCTTGCAAGCAATGTTTCCTGTTTGAGATTGAACACTATATGGTTGCTATTAATTTATGTTGATGTGGATTATATAGATAGATGTACATATTTATTATGTTATTGAAAGAACATTTGCTTTTGATTTTTAGACATTAAAAGCTTTTTCACTTTTCTGTTTCTTCACTTCTTTCCTACCACATCAGTTTCCTTGCCATTTTTCAAACATGACAGTTATTCCAAATTATTTTTACATCTTTTTATTCTGAAAATAGAACCTTATATAAAAGTCCTATTATCTATTGATGTGGTTCATACATGCCTCTTCTGTCAAAATATGGCCACACCTGCCTTCCTCTCTAATGATATTTCTATAGTTAAATGTTACAGTGTCACATTATCTCTCAGTAATGAGGCAATACTTATTATGCCTGAGCAGTTGTGCCAGGACAGAGATCTGCTTTACCGGAATTCCCACTTTAAGAACCTTTCTCAGAAGTTTTTGCAGTAGGGGACAGCTAGTGAAATCATAGGCTACAGGGATTTTCTTTCTTTTTTTTTTTTTTTCCCCTTGGCTACTTAATGAGTTTAAGCTATGTACATCCTCAGTGTATCTGTCCCCTTTCATCTCTCATGGCTGCCTGCCCACATGCTAATCGGTGACCCCACAAAGAGTGCTTTGTATGAGGCTGAGGCAGAGTGGCACACTGACACAAACCTACCAATCCCCTTTCCTGCAGCACTGAATGAGAGAGAGATGTATAAATAAATAATTCTAGACAGTGAATATGCAGGAACTATCTATGTTAGCACAATTTAGATTTTTTATTCACAGTTAAAAATATTTAACTATTTACACAATTTTTCAAGAAGCATAATTCAGTTTATGCAGTACTACGTTTGATGTCAGTGATAACAGTACAGTTTTAAAGGGATTATGTACATTTGGTCTTTTCCAAGACTGTATTTGAGGCTACAAACCATGTTTCAAATAGCTTTGAGATTGGATTCTGCTCCTTTTTTTGATTTTGTTTTGGAGAAGCTGTAGTGCAGAATTCGGCAAATGAAGCAGAACTTGTTACCAGTATTAGAAACAAATTTTTATGACAGTGTTGTACAACTTCTTTCTCCCACACAAACACTTTCTGTACATACAAAGTAAAGGTTGTTTTCCATGATATTTATGATGGAGCAAATCTATGCCTCTGGCTCTTACGGTCATTGTATGTGAGCACAGGAGCCTCTCTCATGTATTCTCACTGTATCTTCTTAAAATGGGGAATTCTGCCAGTTCTGTTTTACAGTCAGAGATATATAAGCCACAAAAGGCCAAGGTCTCAATTCTGAAATGTAGGTGCAGGCCACTTGTGAACTTTTGGGTCTAATTAATTTGTCCATTTTCAGATGGGAAGTTAATAGCAAGGAAGGTATAGATTCTAAGTGTCCTTAATCCTGGATTATGTATGACAGGGATTACCTTATTGTATCTGGAATATGTCTCATAAACAGAATTGTAGAATTGGAGAAGAATGTACTGCTTAGAGCATCACTATGATTTAGGTTAATGATATTTGGTTCATGTCAGATTTAAAACTTCTTCAATAGAGAAGGTAGATTGCATAGTCTTGTGTATAGACTGTTTCAGCTCCAACAGACAAAATATCAGTTTGATGTCAGTCATCACTTCCATTTACCAGAGTCAGTTCTAAGTAATTTTTAGTCTAAAGACTATTTGTAGAACAAAAATCTTACAGATTGGCAGTGATATAATTTGAGTGGTAGAAATGTCCTAGGAAAATTTGCACAACACCTGTCAGTGCTGCTTGTGAGCCTTAGACAAATACACCATGATTTTGGAAAAAATAATTTATGCATCTCTCTAAAATATAAAACAACAAAAAAAAGAAAAGCATTACTTAAACAATAATTAACTTAATAGAAGGAGATTCCTACTAATTAATTTCTTACTTCCAAAAGAAAAAGTTACTACTGCAGGCACATTGGTAAGAGCAAAGTATTAGAGCACTGTCCAAGAAATTCTCCAAGAAACACACAGGATTGTGAAAAATTGCTAAGAAAAGTCTCTTGAACTCTGTTGATGTTGGAACAGCAACATTTGGTTATGATGCTACTTTGAAAAGCAGTATTTGTAGTTATCCCAGTGTACATCAGTCCAAACACGAATTTAGAGAAACTACAACGATGTTATTTGGATTATTATAAATTTCATCCAAAGGCATCATGCCAGTAACAAGGGTGCTGCCAACCTGAGTTTCTATTAAAATATCTACTTCCTCAGAGAGTAACTTCTAAATAGCATGTCTTTAAATTAATATATATATATATACACACACACATATAGTAGAGGTTATTCTCCTTTCTTTGTTCAGTAGAATTTTGGAACAAGCATTTGAATAGGAATGGTAATGTCAGGCCCACATCTTTCCTCTATCTTTTGTCTGTGCTTACATATCAGCTTTCAGATGTTTCAATTTTAACCTTTGTTATTGCTACAACTGTAAAAGCTTTCCTAAAAAAATCAAGGAAGCTCATTATGTATGAAATCTGTCAAACTAACTTAAGTAAACAGTCTGGGATTGGGGACTTGAGGGAGAAAGAGGGAAAGGTACTTATTCTATTTTCTTATTGTCTGCTTGTAAAACGACACCTCACACCTCTGTGATAAAGGAAGTTTGGGCTTTTTTTCCAACTTTGTTGCATCCCTTTCAGTTCTGGACTGGAATTTCATAGGCATGATGAATAGTCAGCCATGTAAAGATGCCTGTGTGTCTCCTATATATGGGGAAAGAGAATGTCCATATTGGCCCAAAAATATCAGAACCAAAACTAAAACAGGTTTAAGTGGTTTAGCCTTTCTATTTAAAAGTAGTAGATAAAGGTAGTTGAACTTGGAAAATCTTCAGATATTTAACAAATAATTAAATTATAACCAGTTGTTTTAAAAGAATTAAAATGCTTTGTTTACACATTTTAATAATTAAAAATGTAGTATTTAAAGATCAGTAGTTCCCTCAATGCACATTCTTGCTTATTTTGTTTTGATATTTTATAAATTATATTTAAATAGCACTGATACATTTTTGTTTATATACCTTTCTTTGGTTAAGCCTATGATGTCAAAATTCCATGCTTGAGTATGTACAGCACTCTGCACTGTCTTTGTTTTCCTTGCTATGCTTCTTGCTTTTATATACAGAAACACTGGCAGTTTAAACTTAATGCTCTTACTGCTCTCTTTCCATTTTCCTACTTGTTTTCTCTAAACATTATCCTTGTTTTCTAACATCATTCATGCTTCTCTATATTTGAGCTCGTATCTGTATGTCCATTTTCCAAATTTGTAAGCTTTTATTACAAACTGAACTTTGAAAAAATCTACTGTAAGAGATCTTAAAGGAGTTTTTGGCTTGCCCTTAAGGACTTCCAGAGCACCCTGTTCTCTGGACAATTAGGAAGCCCAAGACATCAGAGCTGGCTCAGGGAATTGGTAGCTGCCTGTCCTGTGTGCCAGCCCGTTTGATGATTCTTGGCACAGGCGGCCTAGAAGCTCAATGAATCAGCTATCCTGGGCAGTTTCAGCTCCTGTAGACTTGTTCTCCGAGAGATCCTGAATGGACTACCATAAATTGCTTCTGAAACCTACCATTGATGCCCAGTTTGCATCAAAACACAGAGCCAGAAAGCTGGGAAGGAGAGACTAGAGCATAGCCCACGTCTCCCTCTCCCTCATAGCCCACGTCTCCCTTCTTCCCACCAGAAGCCAAGTAGCCTGGCAAGCTACTAACCAGCCGTCTGGCTGACAAGAGAAAAGATGAAGAGGCACGTTGGCAATTTAACCTGTCTTTCTGCCTGGTTTCTGTCAAAACTTTTCAAGGAGCCGTCATGTTCTTATGGAAGGTTTTGGTTCTGTTCCATCAGCATTTTTTGATGGAATACTGTTCCACTGGAAAATATTTGAGCAGCTTTTCTTTTAACTTAATTTATAATAACTACACATACTAGTCAACAACTTGTCATGTTACTTCTGTACTTTTAAATTAGACTTTCTAATTGGATATAAAAATCTGTAA